CCATGTAGAGAGAGCCATGACAACTTCAGAGTAAAAATGCATCAAGGCTTAATTTTCGATTTCTGCAAATTCAAGGGTTACAGCCGAAAGCATCGCGGCAAAAACATCGCGGAGAAAACAACGCAAGGCGAAAACGTCGTGATACAAAACACCGTGGGAGAAAACATCGCAGTTCTAAAACATCGTGATACAAAATATCGTCGTCCAAAATAAAGCAGTTCAAAAATTTCGCAGTTTAAAAACATCGTCGTCGAAAATATCGTTGTAAAAAATAAAGTACCTACAAATCATCGTATGACGATAACATCGCAGACATGTTTTTTTCACGCTTTAATAATTGTAAATGGATATTTCCATAATGATTGTGAGCGCAAGATGGAAAGAAGGATAATTCTTTACTTTCATATTTTTTATTAACTAATAACATTTTGCTGAGAAAAGTAAGAAGGAAAATTTTAAGCATAGAAACATTAATGCAACATATAGCACTTAATAAGAATTTTAAACCTGACATAGTTAACTAACAAATGGTAATTAATAAATCATTTTTTTATAAAGTTTCTACTGGTAATTTTACATTAAAAGTATAATCTAAAAATGTTTAGAAAAAGGAAGCTATGTAACTGCATGACCTTATCTGTAAAAAATTGCTAATTATGAGATTATTTTCTTCACTTTTGCAATCTAATACTCTTGTAATAAGCAATAATTTCTTGTTCATGCTTAAGGTTTATTGTTAGTACTTAAGTTTCCTTCTTACTTTTTCAGCAAAAATTTATTAGTTAATAAAAAATATGAAAGTAAAACTTACCTTTCTTTCCATCTCGCGCTCACAATCATTATGGGAATATTCATTTACAATTATTAAAGCCTGAAAAAAGCAGGTCTGCGATGTTATCGTCCTGCGATGATTTGTCGATACTTTATTTTTTACCGCGATATTTTCGACGACGATGTTTTTAACTGCGAAGTTTTTTGAACCGCTTTATTTTGGACGACGATATTTTGTATCACGATGTTTTAGAACTGCGATGTTTTCTCTTTGCGATTTTCTCCCACGATGTTTTGTAGCACGACGTTTTCGCCTTGCGTTTTCGCCCGCGATGATTTTGCGCGATGTTATCGGCAGACAGTTATCTTCACTGCTTCGAAGGCTATAGCTAATTTTTCAGTGCTGGTTTTCGAATGCATGATTCTTTCTGCGATATTGTTCATCCTTCTGATGAAATTAAAAACTTTAGCATCTTGAAAGATTTGGAAAATATCCTCTACTTCTTTATCTGGGATCTTCTGCTGATTGAAGACGGCGCTGAACGGGATGTTTCTTTGAATTTCTTCTTGAGTTTTAATTTTTAGAGCTGGGAAATCTTCTTGGGTGGGTAACTGCTGAATTTTTTCTATTATTTTGGGGGCTCCAGTCATTCTGAGCTGAGATAGCAAACGTGTTGTTGCACGCATTGTGAATTACGCTCATTTTTGACTTGAACTGACACAGACCCGTAGGCGGTCAGTGATTAGTGGTTTGGAAGGGATACACGGTGACTGAAGGTCGCCTTCGTCATTACTCTTAAGACATGGACCTTATAAGAAATAGACTAACCCAATTGCGTTTTCTCCCTTGTCTGGCGCGTTCCCGGCTGTCACCTTGATCACATCCGGAGGGACGACTTCCAGAAATTAGCAATGGTTGGCTATTGCAGCGCGTACAATTGTCACGAAAAGCTGGTGGTAGTGCCTCATTTCACAAGTAAGAATTTTTAAATATTTTTATTTTTGACACTGAGATTGCTTTTTAAATACTTATCATGTTTTTCAAGCATAATTAACGTTCTAAATAATTATAAAGCTGTTGCGTGCTTTCAGGCTTGTATATATTTTTAACTTTTCCTATGATGTAAGCGAATTTGTAACTTCTTCTTTTAGAAAATAATATTTTAAATCTGAACTAACAGAAAAATTCAACCAAGTAATTTTCTCTTACAATTACTAAAACTATAACTAATACTAAACTATAATTAAATACTAAAATGCCTAAAAATGAATTTTTGAAAGTTTTTCTTACCGCATCATTCGTATTCGCATAGCAACCGCATCATACGTATTCGAATAGCAATCTCGTCATTCGTACTCGAATAAACCGCATCGTACGACAGATGCGAGTAACGAAATGAATTTGTGAGTACCGAATCGGTACTTCGAGTCAACCGATGTATCCGTTACTCGGTAACGAATACATGCGGTTTGCTCCAGCTCTATCTCATAGACCAAGGCCAACTTATACTCAAGGCCTGCCAGTGTGAAAATATTCTTTTGTGTTTTCGGTTGCCTGAGTGATATTCCTACTGATCGCAAGATGGCGCTACAATTCTGCTACACTTTGCTATGTTTAGAAAGATCGGAAAAGTACCAAAAACGAATTCTGTCTTGTTATATGCAAAGTTTAAAAACGATTAATCCATAGTAGTCAGAAATTGTTAATTTCTTATTAGTAAAAATATTTTAATTAGAAGGAAAGCATGGAATTTTAAGCTATCTCAAATTTTTTTTTTCACACATAAACACCAGCTATTTGATCTCGATTTTAATTCCTGCTTTGATCTAGACATGCGCTATTCTGAATTGTACGCATTACAACTATTTATTCTAATTTAAAGGTAATTCAGAGTATACACCTTATTTTTTAATTATGTATATAGTAAGAAGTTAACAGATAGCTTCAGATCATGTACTATTTCAGTGAAAAATTTTCAAAATATTTCTATCGGCTGTACTGGGCCAAAAAATAATTTAATATCCATGTAATTAACATATTAATACACCGTGATCTAAAATTTGTATATCTGTTTCCACGACATTGGAGTAAAAATATTACTTAAAGAGATTAAAGTAAGAATATTACTTAGAGATTAAATTTTACATACTGAAGAATTTTTTTAAATTATTAAATACCTGTTTTTAGGAAATCTTAAACAATAAAAGTTTAAATAATGCAGATTTTGATCTCTATGCAGTATTTGCATTGCAGATATTCAAAGACATTATAAAATTATTAGTCAAAAAAAAGGGGGGGGTCTTACTGTGGCATAGATTTTGAATGAAACTGTAGTGGCCCAGTTATTGCATGAGAAATAATTATTTTTTATTTCATATATTTGTTCATGTGTTAATTATTTTATAAAATTACTTTAATATTTTGTTAATATCATATTTATATTTCTTTTATGCTGAATGGCAATAAGTAGTTCATATTTATATTTAAATTTCTTTATGCTGAATGGCAACTAGTTCTAGTTCTGATTCATGATTGCTAGATTTTGGTTTCAAAACGTTGCTCGTAGCGTCGCATTTCGATAGCTGGAAAATAAAATGCAATAACTTAGCTATTTGTTTATAATTCATGCTGTTACTAGTCATAAATTAATTTTAAACATTAGTAGCCAAGGCTACAAAACTCAAACCCAATGTTGCTTTTTTGACTAATTTTTATATTACACAGGTGTGTTTCTCTTCACTTTCATTTGTATTCTAAATTTCATTGATGTTAACATTAAGAAACTAGTAACTGAATTAAGTGCACTGCATCAATTTACATTTTCATGTTAGAGAAACTTCAATTTTTTCAAATGAAAATAATGACATTTTTGATAAAGCTATTGATCAAATCAATCTGTTTGTTATAAATAAAAGAGACACAGGCATTATAAAATATATTTTAACAGCACACAAAAAAATAATAACTCTCATAATCACAATATATAACTTAAGAAAAACGTTCAGTTCTGTATATCAAGGATAAAATTTGAAAACTTGCAATGGCTGAATATAAATAATATATCCATCACACATGCCCACAATGCTAAGTAGAATGAGGTATATACACAATTTTAGATATATATGCATTTAAAGTTAGGCAAAAAAACAAGCTTATTAAATGCATCACTTAAATATACAGCAGGTAGACATTTTTACACACATACAACATTTATCAGAATGACATGTGTACAAAATTTTATTTACAAATGGCTATTTATTTACACGCTGGTGGCGTGAGATACTGATATAGTTCATTATCAAGAATAATGTATACATGAAATAAAATTACTGAATTTCACAAAACAATATTATCACTATTAAGCACACATATACATGAGTGCCATCTTGATACATTACCTACATGCAACTACATAAATCCATGTGTAGCATTCCCATTCCAGATTAATCAGAAGATGATTAATAGTATAATAATAAGATAATAATAAAGTTCCACACAAAGTTTTGAAAATAACAGCATTAGATGCACAAGATTTCAGAATTAAATAAGCAGAATGAGGAATTTCAGAACTGAGTTCAATGAGGTATATACACAATTTTAAACCTATATGCATATAAAGTTAGGCAAAAAAACAAGCTTATTAAGTATAGCCCTTGAAATATACAGCAGCTAGACATTTTTTACACATATACAACATTAATCAGAATGACATGTGTACAAAATTTTATGGCTGGCAGCGTGAGATACTGATATAGTTCATTATCAAGAAAAATGTATACATGAAATAAAATTACTGAATTTCACAAAACAATATTATCACTATTAAGCACACATATACATGAGTGCCATCTTGATACATTACCTACATGTAACTAGCTGACATAAATCCATGTGTATTACTCCCATTCCAGATTAATCAGAAGAAAGTTACAAACAAAGTTTTGAAATAACAGCATTAGATGCGCAAAGATTTCAGAATTAAATAAGCAGAATGAGGAATTTCAGAACTGAGTTCAATGATGTATATACACAATTTTAAACCTATATGCATATAAAGTTACGCAAAAAACCTAAGCTCGTTAAGTATAGCCTTTAAATATACAGCAGCTAGCCATAAAATACACTTTTTGTTAATAACGAACTACGTTACAAATAGTGAGCGTATAGCCAAATTGTAACAAAATGCGAGCGCCACCTAGTGATGAATTTTGCGAAAGCCACTGAAAACTGGGAACGGGAATTTCGTTCAGTCTGGCAGGCCTTGAGTATAAGTTGGCCTTGCATAGAGATTATGTGCATTAAGTTGCAATTTCATTTTTAACACCCGTTTGAGAACATAAAGCTATTTTTACTGTGTTACATTTGGTTTTTATCAGAAGAAGTTCATGGCGCTTTTTGCGTGTGAGGTTTCTTAAATAGTCGTTTAGATAAATGCGTGAACAAATGGTCGTGATGGCAATAACTTGGCGAAGAAGTAAGTGTTAAACCATTCTACAGCGCGGAAAATAACATTAACGTCTCCTATTTCTTCTATTGTACGAAGCAATGTATGAATTTGAAGCAATCTCTGAATAAACTAAGCACCATGAATGCTGTGAATGGGTGATGAAAATCATGCCGTATGTATATCGCCCTAGATGTGTCTTTATTAGTGTTTTATATGCGATGTATATGCACCAACTACTTTGCTTAAATTTTAGCGTTCCAGGTTTGATCCTGAAATTGTAACATCTCCCAGAATGCCATCAATAAGCGATAAATTCTTGACTATGATTTCCACTGTGAACTTCTCAGTTTTTCTAATATATTCGAGTACAACATACCTTGGAAAATGTCATGTGGAGGAAACTTCTTAAAAGTCCACAAATTACACAACAGAAAAACCTCATGTATGTGAGGTAGCTAAACGTCATTTAGACAGATGTGTGAATAAAAGCAACATTTGTTTCGTAATGCAAAATGTGGTGTAATCATGATGTATATATAATGTATACTGTGTGTAACAAGTCATTTAGACTAAAGACTTATTTGAACAATCGTACACTTATTCTGCAGATATGTACAGGAGAAAAAAATGTACTGTGTAAAGTATGTAAGAATTCATTTAGATGATAGAGCACTTTAAACAGGATATGCTTATTCATGTAGGAAAGAAACTTCACGTGTCTGAAGTATGTAATGCGTCATTTAGTTAAAAACGTAACTTAAACAATCGCATACTAATTCACACTAGAGAAAAACATCATGTGAGGTATGTAACAAGTCATCTATTCGGAAAAGTCATTTAAAATTCGATATGCATATTCACACAGGAGAGAAACCTCATGTGTGTGAGGTTTGCAATAAGTCATTTTCTGAAAAACGGAATTTAAAATCCCATATGCTTATTCATACTGGAGAGAAACCTCATGTGTGTGAGGTTTGCAATAAGTCATTTTCTGAAAAACGGAATTTAAAATCCCATATGCTTATTCATACTGGAGAGAAACCTCATGTGTGTGAGGTATGTAACAAGTCATGTAGTGGAAAAAGAAATTTAAGATACCATATACGTATTCACACTGGAGAGAAACCTTATGTGTGTTATGTATGTAATAATTCATTTGCTCTAAAAGCTTATTTAATATGCCATATGCGTGTTCACACTGGAGAGAAACCTCATATATGTGAGGTATGTAATAAGTCATTTGCTCTAAAAGGTAGTTTAAACAGACATATGCTTGGTCACACAGGAGAGACACCTCATGTGTGTGAGATATGTAATAAGTTATTTGCTTACAAATATACTTTAAACAACCATCTACGTATTCACACAGGAGAGAAACTTCATGTGTGTGAGACATGTAATAAGTCATTTAATCAAAAAAGTATTTTAAAAAACCATATGCTCATTCACACAGGAGAGAAACCTCATTTTTGTGAGGTATGTAATAGGTCATTTAGTCTGAAACATCATTTAAACAGACATATACTTATTCACACAGAGGAGAAACCTCATGTGTGTGAGGTATGTAACAAGTCATTTGCTCAAAAAGGTAATTTAAACAGACATATACTTATTCACACCGGAGAGAAACCTCATGTGTGATGTATGTAACAAGTCTTTTGTTTGAAAAGCCATTTAAAGAACCATATGCTTATTCACACAGGAGAAAAACCTCGTGTATAAGATGTGTAATAAGTCATATGTTAAAAAAAGAATTTAAACAAACATACTTATTCACACAGAGAAATCTCCCTCGCACGTACTTAACACGCGGGAGAGAAAATACATGAGTAACTTGCATAACAAATCACTTACATAAAGGAAATATTGTTTAAGGTATGTAAAAGATCATTTCTTCAAGAGAATTGTTTAAACATCCATATTCACACAACAGAGAAACGTAAGGTGTGTGAGGTCTGTAAAAAGTCATTTCCTGGAAATGTTTATTTAAACAGTCCTTATTCACAGATAACAGAAAGTTCATGTGTGTGAGATATATAATAAGTCATTTACTTAAAAGTCAAAATTAGAAAAGCATGTACTTGACAGGTCAGAGAGAAAATACATGAGTAACTTGTGTAACAAATCACTTAGATAAAGGAAATATTGAAAGTCAACAGATAAAAGAAGGTTGGTGTCTTTTGTAGAAAAGTTTGATTACTAAGAGCCTTTACTTACTGTGCAGAAATGACTTGTCTGTACTATAAAGGAATGTCTTTGTATGATATGTTTTAACTTATTTCATTTCAGTTCATAATAAATCATTGATTTGTTTCCACACCAGAAAAACCTCATGTTTGTGAGATAAGACACAAGTAATTTTAAAGTATTGCTGATTTAAAGCAACATTTTCTAATCCTTAGTATTTAATTAGTAATAAAAGGTTGAAAACAGCATATTCGAAGAGTGAAATATTAGAGACTAGTTATACTGTTCTGAATCGGAAATTTTATTGATGTCACATTCCTCCAATTTAGGTAATGTCATGCAGTGTTTGAAATGGTGAACATTTTCATTTGAATTAAAATTTCTGTCACATTTTGCACTATAATCTAGTTTGCATTACATTTTTGTGAAAAAGAACAAAATCTATATATAATATATATAATTTTTTTTTTTTTTGTCGTATGTTTGAAACATTAATGGAGACTATGTTCTTGATGCCACTATGCAACTTGTAGTGTCTTTCAAATCCTCCTAAGAAATGATTTTTTGTTATACTTACATGTAATGAGCACTTCCAATGTGGATAAAAGTTCCCTTTCATTCAGTTCTTAACTTCTTCGTTTGTTTTATATTTATGCCGTTTTGTGTGCATTTTGTTGTTGTATTCCAAAGTCCAAGAGTTTTTATAAACAAGTTATGATATTTTTTGTATTAAATTTAGTTTTAAGATATGGCCTTGTGGAATTTGTGAGATATTTTTCTGCAATATGGCAAATTTCTGCAAGAACACAGGACTTTCCTTAGTAGTTCACTTTAGGAAAAATATGCTAAAAGAACAACGAGAAAATGCTTTTTTTCAATAGCTGAGTGCTGTACGAACCCAGTTCTGTGCAATTTTTTTTTTTTTTTTTTTTTTTTTTAAGGCAGAAACAGGTAGCTGTGTACTTGAGGAGGAGAAACATGCAAAATAATAACAAAGTTTTGAAGAAGAATGAATTTTACTTTTTTAATGCATTGCTTAATCCTTATTTAATAATTCAAATTTGTATTTTCATGTATGTTTTTCTTTTTATATATTGATAATGTTTACCATCTTACAATAAATATTGCTAGGTTGGGAATCCTTTTAAAGTAAATGCTCGAAAATCATGATTTTGCAGCTGATAAGAAAATGTAGCTTTTCATCTGTAAAAATTCAAAACATTGTTCTAAGCTCATTGCGTTAATATTATAACTACCTTTTTTCTTGCTAATTGTTTGATGTAAATATTTCTGATACGTTTATACTTATATGTCTTTGTATATTGTCTGTTATTAAGTATTCAGCTTTGACATCTGGTTTCTGTTTAATATGCTGACTTTCATGTTACCACTTTGAAATTCTTCTTGTTTTGAAATTCTGAAGAACGCTTAAATATTTATTCACAATGTGCATGCTGTAGCTTGTCAGTGCATTGTATTAAACTTGGCTGTTCTTATGTTAACACAAAATTTACTTATAGTTCTGTGATTAGACATGGAAATATGTTTTTCAACTGCGATAAGATTTCAATCAGTGTTTGCTGATATCCATGCTGCAGAAAAATCCAGTGTGCGTAAATATATAAAAAGGCATTTGGAAAATATCTTTTTCATAAATTTAAGAAACAGTTATTTACTAAGTGTAATTTAAGAAACTTTAAGTGTCAGAAGAAAACATGACATTTTATTTTGAAGAACACACACTGGTTTTCTATAATGATTAAGACTTATGTGCCAAAGTTGATTCTAATATTTATCTTATAATTCCTGCTTTGTTTGGAAGTGTTTGTGAAAATCAACATTATGAGAAATGGGAGATTAAATTTGTTTTGATAGTCATCGAGACGAAATATTTTTTTTTTTTTATGATGCAACTTTTAGCCAACTTATAGCTTTTACTCATGTAAGGCATTGCCACATTTCATACTTTATTGTCTCTTTTGTTATTTTAACTCAAGACACATTCTGTGTTAGAATTGTATTCATTTGATGTTTGCAGACATGACTACTACGTGAAATAAGAACACTGATCTGGCTAAGTTATATAATTTTAACAAAATATGACTTTGCCAGGTCATTTTAATTTTATTTCATGGGATTGATTGCAGTAACATTACATCTGTTTTAGTTGGTTTGCTTTATTTAATAAATCTTTTTTAAATTTTTGCTATAATTTTTTTTATAATTATTAAGCTGAAGCTGAAGAAATAAATTAATTATTAAAGCTGAAGAAATAAATGTATTGTATTTAAGGATTTTAAAGAATATAAGAATTTTAAATTTGTGTTGTGAAAATTTTAAATTGTATACTTAAAATATCTTATATGTACGTGAAAAGATTATTTTGATCTAAATCGAATAGTAACCAATATGTGTATAAAAAGTAGGTTATGGAATGACTTTTGTCACTGCCACTTGATAGAAGTTCTTAAAAATTAACTTTTGATGAAATAGCTTTAGATTTACTTATTAATTTATATTTAATACTTTAAACTATAAGTGTAAAAGTACAGAATTTTGTCGAAAAATCCCTTAGACATAATAGGTTACACTATGTGAAGCCTCTGATGTCTTTCTATGGAAAGATGGATTGCTGTAAGCTTGGGATGAAGACTAGCCGGAAAAATTCCTGAAAGATAATTGGAAATGAATGTAAATGTTTTATTCTTTTAATGTATCACATAATTCTTCTTTACTAAGTAAAATTTTTATTTTCATTTGCTGAAGTATATTCTTTTTTGTTGTTTTGTTTGTGAACTTATCAGAAATATAGTCTGGGAATATTTCTATCACTAGAAAAAATAATGTAAACATCACCGACCTTCCTCTCCCTCCAGCCAATAAAAGAAGAGTGACTTTTATTTAAATTTACAAACATTTTTATTATAAAAAAATTTAATAATTAAAATCATTCTATATAAAATTAATTATATTTTAAAAAATTTTGAAAAAAAAAAACCCACAACCAGAATTGCATGCATCAAGATGAAGATTTCATACATTCAATTAGTAATGGACTTACGTAGAACTTACTGCTTACTCTAAAAGTATTGTTTTTGCCCTCTACTCGTATATGCATATAGATAAAATATTATATAATATTATATAATATATGCGCCCTAAGATACAAAATTGGCAAATATAAGATGGTCTTTCTATTTTTCTGCGCCATGTGGTTTGTGGTTTGATTTTCCCGTGCTGGTGGGATGGTTTGGTGGACGATGAGGATGCTTGTTTGTAAGACAACCTTTTGATTGACAAATTGAAACTTAGAGATGGTGGTGGCAAAGAAAGATTTCAGTCAAACGTTTTTTAAGAGAATTGTGTCAAAGTAAAATTTTAAGAGTTAGAGAGGTATGAAGAAAAAAAAGGTACGATGTTGGAGTTGTTAACTAAAACAAAACTTAAATAACTAAACGAGTTCTTTTTTTTTTTTAATAAAATGGTGTGTTAAAATGTCTTATATCTATATTTTTAATATTATTATATTAAAATCACAATATTATATATTATTATTATATTATTTATAAATATAGTTTAATATATTATATATTAAAATTTAATTCGATAGAAGTGTCTTTTTTTTTTGTTTGTTTATTTTATTTTTTTTTTTTTTTTTTTTTTTTTTTTTTTTTTTTTTTTTTTTTTTTTTTTTTTTTTTTTTTTTTTTCTTTTTTTTTTTTTTTTTTTTTTTTTTTTTTTTTTTTTTTCTCTTATTTTGTGATCTTTTTTTTGGCCTTATCTTCTCTTTCTCTTTCTGGTTTCTTTCCTCTTCCTTAGTGGCTCTTCTATTCCTGCTGTGGTTCTCTGTGGGAGGTCTAGGGATAGGGAGGACTTTTACAACCAAAAAAAATCAATTACAACATTTAAATTAATTAAAAAAAAACTAACTACAAATAAAAACATATTAAATTTATTAAATAAAAAAAAAAAAAAAAAATGAAATTACCAAATTTAAAGTAAAAAATAAATAAAAATTAAAACCACAAACAAAAATAAATTTTAATTCCTCCCCCCCCATCCCCCCTCCCCCCCCCCCCCTTACCCCCCCCCCCCCCCTTCCCCCCCCTTTTCCCCCTTCCCCCCTCCTCCCCCACTCTCCCCCCCCCCCCCCCGTTCCCCCCCCCCCCCACTCCCCCCCCTCCCCCCCCCTCCCCCCCCCCCCCTCCCCCCCCCCCCCCCCCTTTCCCTTCCCCCTTTCCCCCCTTCCCTATCCCCCCCCTCCTCCCTCTCCACCCCCCCTTCCCCTTTTTTCCCTTTCCCCCCCCTTCCCCCCCCCCCTCCCCCCCACCCCCTTCCCCCCTCCCCCCCCCCCTCCCCTCCCCCCCCTTGCCCCCCCCCCTCCTCCCCCCTTCCCCCCCTCCCCCCCCCCTATTCCCCCCCCCCCCCCTCTCCCCCCCCCCCCCCCCCCCTCCCCCCCCCCCCCCCCTCCCCCCCCCCACCCCTCCCCCCTTCCTTCCTTCCTCCCCCCCCCCCCCCCCCTCCCTTCCCTTTTCCCCTTCCTTCCCCCCCCTTCCTTCCCCCCCCCCCTTTCCTCTCCCCTCCCCCCCCTTCCCCCCCCCCCCCCCCCTTTCTTCCCCTCCTCCCCCTCCCTTCCCCCCCCCCCCCCCCGCCCCCCTTCTCTTCCCCACCTCGGCCTTTTCCCCCTTTCCCCCCCCCCTTCCCCTCCTTATCCCCCCCCCACCCCACCCCCTCCCCCCCTTCTTTCCCCCCCCCCCTCCCCCCCTTTCTCTCCTTCCCCCCCCCCCCCCTTTTCCCCTTTCCTCCCCCCCCCCCCCCCCTTTTCCTTTCCCCCTTTCCCCTTTTCCCCCCCCTCCCTCCCCCCTCCCCCCCCCCCCCCTCCCCCCCCCCCTCCCCCCTTTTCCCCCCCCCCCCCCCCCCCCCCCTCCCCTTCCTTCTCCCCCCCCCCCCCCCCCCCCCCCCCATTCCCCCTACCCCTCCCCCCCCCCCGTCGTGCTGCCGTGTCGCTCCACTTGGCGCGCTGCTCTGCGGCCTTCGGCCGCGCCCTGTGTTTCTTCTGCTCGCCTTGTTTGGGTTTGCCGTCCCCAATGGTTGCTGCTCCCCCCGCCCGTCGTCCGTGGCTGTCCCGCGGCGCGTTCACGTCCCGCCCGTCCCACCCCCCTTCCCGCTATTGCAAGAAGTTGTGGGTGGTTTTCCTCGTTTCTTCCGGCTTCCCTTTTCCGGCCCGTTTCTCTTGTTCCTCCTACTCCTTTCCTGTGTTCGAAAGTTGGGAATCCAACAACAGAAAGAGGAGAGAGTAGCAATCGCCGAAATCCCCGGGCACGTTCGTTGAAGAGACGGGGGTGTGACTGGCAAAAAATGTTTTATGAGGCACAGGGATGTGGATGGTAATGGGGTAGTGCTTTTTACTTTTAATTATAATAATAATATATAAAATTTAAATTGTTTTTTTTAATTATTTTTTGTAGAAGAATGTTATGTTCATCATTGTTTTTTTAGTTATGAATTTTTGTTATTTTGAATTGTTTGTAATATTTTGTAAA